TTATAATTATAGAAAAAAATGTGTGTGCGTGAGAGAGAGAGAGAGAGAGAGAGAGAGAGAGAGAGAGAAACTTGTATAATAAAAAAATTAAAATATTTTAACGGAGGTTAATTTTAATCACATTTGTTTTGTTTGGTTTTAATTAGATTTATTTATTTATTATTAATTAATTAAATTATTTAGTAAAATAATTAAATAAAGTAATCTTGTATAATTTAACGTTAATATTTAAAAACCGTTGAGGCCAATAATGGCGGCAATATGTCCACCATCAATTACTAAATTGGTACCTGTAATAAAACTACCCTCATTACTGGCCAGATAAGCAACGGCATTGGCCACATCCACTCCTTCTCCCACCCGTCCCACCGGATAGTCGGCCGCAAACTTATCAAATAGATGTCTGCCCTCGGCTTTAGTCACACCAAAGCTATTCTGGAATGCATCGGTGTTACCACAACCCAAATTATAGTTGGGTCATATACCATAGCAGTGGGCTTATAAAAAATTTTAAATAATGTATAACCTTGATAAGAATTATCAACTCAACGCAAAATTAAGTTTGTTATACGATAGAATCCGATTCAATATTTCCAACAATAAAACTAATATAAATTATAATTATAGTATACAATATATAAATTATATAAAGTTTTATTTAATATAAAATTATATTTTAAATAATTAGCTATACATATTTATTGTTTGGTTAAGGGAATTAAAATTAATTTAAAACTTTAGAATTAAAAAACATATAAACAAAATGTTTATTGTTTATTAGATTTGCCTAATATTGAAAATCTATAAGTTGGTGTGCACTAAAATGTATGCAAAGCTATCAGGGTCACTATCAAGGTTTCCGCTGCCAGTTGTTTATAATTATCATTATTTGCAGACCAGACAAATTAAATTAAAATAATCATTTCATAAAATAGCCCATATGGTGTACATTAAAAATAAATAATAATATTCAAAGCTCCTTGATAAATTTTTAATTAACCAGCTAGTTTGTAATAACAACGATAGTTAGAAATAATAAAAACAATTTAGTATTTAATATTCAACTATAAATAGCCCAAAAAATATTAACATTTTAGATCAGTCGACTGAACGTTTGCCTAAATTACAGTCAAATTATACTGTGGTCAATAAATTGCGTAAATATGAATTCATATTTAGTAATCATAAACGTGGTCATAATGAGCACTGTATGGTACGGACCGGTCAGTGGGAATAGTGTCCAAGAGTTTGCCGACTGTATCGCCAAAAACCTGGGCTACGAAAGCACACCAAACGGCGAACAATGGGCGGCGATTGACGCGGCACAGGCGCGTGGATTTAGCGACTTAAAAACTGACCTAGATAACTACGATTACGCCATGCAAACAGACGTGACCAGTTTTTTCACCACGCTCGCCCGCGTGATGGAGGGCGAAAAGAATCACCAAGCTGATCCCAATACAAATTACAACAAACGCCAATCGCGACTACAGGAAACCCTCAAAGCGATGGCCGCGTATACCAGGGCTTTATTTGAGCACGCGCCAAACGCTGGCCAAGGGCACA